ATTGGTGAATATTTTTCTAGAATATTTGTTATCAATTAGATTTGTTATATCAAAAAAAAGATAGTATATAAGGAATATTATAGTTTTAATAAATAGATATTTGTTATCTATAGAGCTGAGTTGCAAAAACTTAATATTATCTAATATTCGATATATCTATTCAATTTCTTTTTAGAATCTTTACAAACAACTTATTGTAGAGATTAGATATTTCTTTGTTTATCTTGAAGTTTATATTTAATTAGTAATAAGAATAGAGAGGTGAATGAATTGAACAAGGCAGAATTATTTGTAATATTGTTTATAATAGTATTGGATATATTTTCTAATAGGGTTATAGCTTTTTTCTTAATATATCCCTGAATGGCATGGAGATAATGTTATTGATAAAACAAAAAGTAATCATAATCTCCTGTGTTCTTTTATCCCTAATCATTATAATTTCTTTAAATAAATGTTTGAGCCCCTTCTTTATTATTATAATTATAATTGAATGGATCTCTGTGGAAGTTTAGATTTTTGTTTATAATTGTGACCAAAAGGGTATAAACAGGACTCCGATTGTGTACTTAGAATCTACAAGTGAAGGGCTATGTAGGATGCTAAAAGGAGGACTATATATACAGGTATTGGGAGCCATAAGGGCTAGGCCCAAAAGGGTGAAAGAGACCTAGGCGTAAGATGCCTAGGTCTAGAGCTATAGGGCTAGGGCTCTGAGCTGTGAAAGGAAGGTCCAAAAGAGCCGTCATATCATACTATGTATGTAGTATGAGCCAGTGGGCGGAAGGTAGCCGTCTGTTCCGTCACAATAATAGATATAATATTTCTTCTGATATTGGCCAGTTTTGTTTTTGGGACAATCCTATATTATATAATCTTGTTTTTTATATATATAGTATAAACTAAGGTAATATTTTTCTATTCTTTGTTATTCTTTGATTAGATTCTTGAAAATAACTTTGAATATATGAAAGTTTATTAGTTCATTAGCAAAGGTAGTTGAGTGAGAAACAGAAACACAACAGCAAAAGAATACTCTTTATCACAATCACAGCAAGTCAGCCTCTGAGTCATTAGATTAGATTCAATGAATTAATGAAATTAACTATGGTATCGCTACAACAGCCTGGCCATGTCAGAAGAAGGATATCAAGTTTGAAGTTTACTTCCTTTCGTTATATACATACACTTCATTGATAAAGAAATGTCGCGGCGAAAATATTGCTCAGAGGGCAGGCGGATGAAGGTTCTAATACTTCCTTCTCAACTATCGGAGATATTGAGTCTTTCCCTCAAATCGTACCATTTGGCTACATCCACGGCCTGAAATCATCCGCCAATCATTCTTCACACGCGGGAGCTCCAGGTTTGTGGCCATATGCTTTCCGTGGGTCTGTAGTTAGAGCCTGAAGTGCGAAAGTGCCCGATCCATTCCAATATATTTCGAGCACGTGCGACATCATCTATCTTCTTGGCTGTTGATATATTTCCACAGTTCCACGGACAAATGGAGTTAGATGAGCAGGATTGTAGTGAGTTCCTCCAAGATCCAGTCGACCGAGGAGTCGAGAGAAGAGAAAATTCGTCCGAGCCATTCTCATACACTTCGAGGTCAATTGGTGAACACTTTCACTTATCGGACTTCAAATCTTCTTTTATAATGTCCACGGCAACCAGAAGTATTAGGAATGTTAGAAAGATCTAAGGTAAGTTAGTAATGCCTGCCCAATATCATGTCATGAGTATGATATTTAACTAGGCCGAAGTCGACTCACGAAGAAGAAGCCAACTCCTATGAAGATAACTTCAAACCCTCCGGAAAGAGCTTTGCCTCTTACGATAGCATTTTGATGCCTCCAACTTCGGATGATTCCTATCAACAAAGTTGTTATCGCGGCAACTTGACATATACAAGCCAGGGGTTTCCCAAGTACGAAGAATCCTATCAAGGGATTTGGTGTGGGGGAATGTTGCAATCGGCTGGATATGTATCAGTACAATATTGATAGTACAATCAATCTAGATAGAGTACATACAATAGTTGTGCAATTGATACCCCTAGCATCGACAACGCCAATGAAGTCCTGAGATATGCTAAGAAAGTTCTCTCGAGGGCTGGTACACATTGATTAGTAATTTCAACTACAAAACACTGAACAGAAGACACATATACAGAAGTATCAAATCAATACCGAAGCAAGAACTAGATAAGGGCTAAAGTATGCCAAGCCAAAATATACAGATTCTGATAAACGCTAGGTAGGGTGATATAAGTAGATGAAAGAATAGTCCCAGCTGACAGAAGTAGTTCGGCCCTGACTTTCCGTATCCCATACAAGGAAATGTGCCTGCTAATTGATAGATTGTATGATCCGGATCGGTACATGGATAAGAACTAATGGAACGTACCTAAATGATCTCTACATGCAACATGGTCAACGGTCACACTAATCTGGTGTTTCCAGAACTTTGAGACACCATAGGTCAATTGACCGAAAAAGCCAGTGGGTGCTGTACTACCAGGACCTAATGCATGAGTAGATGAAGCGTATGTGTAGTTTTGTCTTATGTGGGCCAATTCTGAAAGTTCAGTGGATTCCCATTGATCTCTTTCTGGAGATGATAATTCGGGTGGCTCTGCGGGTTCTTCAGTGGACTGACGATGATTTGATGCTTCAACCATTATTTTCGGGAGGCGTAAACGCAAGATGACACGCAGTTATATTGCAATGATCTAGGTATGGTAGATTTCACGGATTAGAAAGATCGTGCATGGGCATGATTGAAGAGATGTAAAAGAGAAGTTGAGGTTCGGACTGAGATAAAAGATGATATTATATTAGCTGTATATGAGTAAAGCTGAGAAGCTATAAGCAAACTTTCCACATTCCCCGATAAGAGCACGAGGATCATTTGAAGTGAAATCTGAGCTGTAAAGGTATACTTCGAGATAAAAATTTGGTAATGCCATCGCGGTGAGGGAAGTTGATTGTTGATTGTTTGATGCGGGGAATTACCGAGTAACGATAATGAATCATCTCCACTATGGCGCTAGGAGAGTGACTCGTCACATGACCTCAGGGTCAAAGCTTTCTAGAACAAACATCCCATCATTGGTTAGTATCAACTTTCCCAAAGTCAACACCTGAATCTCCTCTTTTTCTGTCCAACTATGTACTCTTCGCACTCTTCGCACCTCGATACATACAAAGCAGACTAATATTATTAAAGCCATCGTAGCGTTGAGATCTACATTGAGCTTATCCATCAAGATGTCCTCATGCTTTTCCGAGTGGTCAATAGAAGTTCCGGATCAAATCTATCTATCCCCAATCTGCGATCATGCTTATGGCACAAACGAAAGCTCATGGGAGGGGAAATCGGCCCGCATGTCCGCTTTATAGATGCAGACGCGTCTCAACACAGTTTTCGTTACCATAAGGTTTTGATGCAGTGTTTTGCGGTTATCCCAAGAGAGATATCGAAATACCACCCAGATGGATACACTACTTTACCTAGGCGAATCCTGTGAATATCGTCTCCTGATATTCATGTCAAGCTGAACATTGGCGAGGATGGGTAACATCCGCTCAAGTTGACCAAATTTTAATACCATTTTTCTTCCCCACCATGAGTTCCTGGACTCTACCAGGAGCTACCGCGGATATCCGTTAGTGTCTTGCAAAAGGTCTGGAACCACTTGTCCTACCTCTCTAAAGTGTAAGAGAGTCGCTGAGTCGGTCCGTCCATACCGTTGTTACCATTAGATTGGCAGCATTGACTCACTCCAAGGCCGAGCAAAGCTATTATGATCTGATTAAAGCTTAGACTCACAAGGACTAGTCACACCAATAGTTCCTTGCAAAAGGTGCAGAATCGTAAGAATAGCAGCCTGTAGTCATGTAATTCTTATACCGGATCCATATTAATATATTTCAGCCGTTTCCAAGTATGGCACGAGTGTATCCATGCATTATTTGCAATTCTTTACAACACCTTATCTTCTTGTGTGCGGCGTATGGGATGCTCATCCGCAGAGGACCGGCTATGGGGAATATCACTTCAGCCACCTGGTCGGAGATAGGTCTCTGGAAAGATGATACCGAGTTTAGATGCAATTCAGATTGTTGATTGCATGCTACTTTGGCGTTGAACCCTATAAGAGATCTCTTGTTCCAATTTCATCTACTGATTCGAACGTTTTTTGTGATATTCGGAGAATTTCTTGTTGCTTAGATACACGGCACGATTCCTATACTTCGCCGTACGCTAGTATCAACCACTTCTTTAATCATTCGTTGATATCCCAAGAGAGTGTTCCACTATCTGATTTGCCATTTCTCCAGACCGTCGTCGATCATTCCACTGCCCTCCATCAAAATGGTAGAATCACCAAACAGCCAAATTTCCGACCTTATCTTTGATAAGTTCGAAAAAGGGTCTGATGCTATTTCTAGTAGAGATACGGTTGCAACACCGGATTCCGAAATATTCCCTCCCGAAAGTCCTTTAGATAAGAATGTTACGCCTGACCCTAGAACAAAATCTAGTCACTTGGCTGCGTCTTTGTCACTCGAAGAGCAGGTAAAGCTTCTTCGCTCGTGTAATAGCTCATCACTGATGTCCATCTCAGGTCTCTTTACTAGTCGCAGCAGACTTTTGGAGATCAAAATCAATTCCTTCCAAAGGAATACCGGCGTTCAAGACTTCCGATGGTCCAAATGGTAATTTTGACGTACCCCTAGGCACTACCATTATATTCCGCAATACGATACGATACGATCTTCACTCGAACTCATTATCTCATATATTTGTACTGACACGAATCATAGGTGCTCGTGGTGCAATTTTCAAGGCTGGAACAAAGGTTTGTCCAAACTGAAGTCTATCAACAGAACTGTTTTAACATATCCAGGCCGCATTGTTCCCATGTGGTATATCATTAGCAGCAACTTGGAACACCGATCTTATTCATGATGTCGGAAAACATCTCGCAGATGAAACGAAAGCTCGATCAGCTCAAGTTCTATTGGCACCAACAGTCTGTTTACATCGCGGTCCATTAGGTGGTAGAAACTTTGAATCTTTCTCCGAGGATCCTTTTCTGACTGGGAAGATTGCCGTCGCTTATATCAAGGGGTTGCAGGAGAACGGTGTTGCTGCAACGATCAAACGTGAGAGATATTCCTAAGTGTGGCTTTTTCGCGTGCATTTGACTAATTATGTACCCAGATTTCGTAGCTAATGAACAGGAAACATTTAGATTGACTATCGATTCTATCGTGCAGGAAAGATCTTTGCGAGAATTGTATTTACGTCCTTTCGAAATGGCCATTCGAGAAGCCAATCCTTGGGCTGTGATGTCCTCATACAATTTGATCAACGGAGTTCATGCAGATTCCAATTTTCACACACTAAAAGAAATCTTGAGAGATGAATGGAACTACGATGGGTATTTACATCTTTATCTTACATTGTATATTATCATGCTTACACAATCTAGCTTGGTCATGTCCGATTGGGGTGGAACCAACTCAATTGTAGAATCCATCGAAGCAGGCTGCGACATAGAAATGCCCGTGTCAACAAAATGGCGAGGTGAAAAAGCAATTAACGCAATAGAAGACGGTACACTAAGCCGTGAAGCCGTTGAAAAAGCCGCCGCAAACGTATTATATCTTGTCGAACGGACAAAAGGATCAGATATGACAACCGAAGTCTCCGAAGCCGAAGATGACCGAGAAGAAACACGACAATTGATTCGTCAAGCAGGAGTAGAAGGCATAGTACTACTAAAAAATGAAAATGATATCCTGCCAATCAAACCCTCTCATACAAAAATTGCAGTCATCGGACCAAATGCCAATCGAGCAATAGCAGGGGGTGGGGGCAGCGCTAGTTTGAGTCCATACTACAACACCATCCCTCTTGACAGCATCAAATCCATACCCGGGAAAGAAATCAATTATGCCTTAGGCTGTCACACCTACAAATGGCTTCCCCTGGCAGCAGATTACTGCACCACATCTACAGGTGACCAAGGTGTAACCCTCGAATTCCACATTGGCGACAAATTCGAAGGACCCCCTCGAATAATTCAACATCGCACAAACACAGATCTATTCCTCTGGGATTCAGTTCCTGAAGAGGTAAATCCAATATGGTCCGTTCGTGCAAAAACAATCCTAACACCCACCACCACCGGTCTTCATACCCTCTCCTTTTCGAGCGTAGGTCCTGGACGACTTCTAGTAAATGGAGATGTTCAAGTCGATTTATGGAATTGGACGGATCTAGGCGAAGCTATGTTTTCGGGGTCAAAGGATATCCTTTTTGATGTCTACCTTGAAGCTGATGTACCAGTCGAATTAATCGCTGAAACAACAAATGAAATTCGCCCACTATCCAAACAAGCACAACTCAACCAAACCCACGCCACAGGCGGCTGTCGTATCGGTTACAAAGAAGCGGACACCGAAAATCATTTACAAAAAGCTATCGATGCGGCAAGATCCTCGGATGTTGCAATTGTAATTGTAGGCTTGGATGCAGAATGGGAGAGTGAGGGGTATGATCGCCAAACAATGGATTTACCGAGTGATGGAAGCCAGGATCAGTTAATAGATGCGGTCGTAGAGGCTAATCCAAATACGATCGTGGTCAATCAGTCAGGAAGCCCGGTGACGATGCCGTGGGCACAGAAAGTTCCGGCGATCCTACAAGCCTGGTATCAGGGGCAGGAAGCGGGGAATGTTTTGGCAGATGTGTTGTTCGGATTTGAAAATCCTAGTGGGAAGCTGCCTGTATGTGTTTTTATCCTCTTTTTTCAACACTTTCTCTCTCTCTCTCTCTCTCTCTATCTCTCTCTCTCT